CGCTTTTTCTCCTTTGTAATTCCATCTGTTGGAGCAGTTGTGCTTGTAAAAACAAGCAAGCAAAAATTGCCTGAACCAGCGTTACAATTAGTACTTCCCTAAACGCAGTCATTTTCCCTCCGAATGAATGGGCAAACAAAAACAATTGTCGCACATGTGACGTCAGCGCCGCGCTGCACCATCTGTCGCAGACATAATGCGCATATCTCCGGTTCCGAAAGTCCACACGCAAACCCGAAAGAGGAGATTTCTCAAATCTCCACTTTGGTCGGAGTTTTTGTTATTATTCGTTTATAGTTACATCAACCGGAGTTCACGTGTGGATGAAAGGCCACACCGCATGATAAACTATTCGGTTTTCCTGATATCCGGCTACGTGTGTACAGGGCCTCAGCCTTATAACCTGAATCTCTCACTCTCTGCTCTTTGAATTGAGGAAGCTCCTCTGATGAGGAGCGAAACGTCTTCTGTTACAAATAAAATCCAGTTGTTTTTGTATTGAACGCTTTTTGAATAGTTGTGCATTTATTCCTCATCTGTCGAAAACTCAACCAATCAGTGTCTGAGCCAGATTTTCTTGCTGCGGCCCAAAGATGATCTCTCCTGTGCAGGAGGTCAGCTAGCTCTACAGTAAACCAGGGGCTGTCTCGCCCTCTCAGCTTATCGGAGCTGTGGCCGCAAGGATGTTGGTGCCTGCCATGGCGGTAACCCTCGAACCCGGTGGTGGACACCGGCAATGAGGGATGCTGTCAGGCTGAAGAAGGAGTCCTATCAGGCCTTTTTGGCCTGTGGGACCCCTGAAGCAGCTGATGGGTACTGGCAGTCCAAGCGACATGTGGCTTTGGTGGTCACTGAGGCAAAAACTCGGGCGTGGGCGGAGTTCAGAGAGACCATGGAGAATGACTTCCATACAGCTTCGAGGCAATTCTGGTCCACCATCTGGCGTCTCGGGGGGAAACGTGGTACATCACCAACAATATATATAGTGGAGGTGGTGTGCTGCTGACCTCAACTCAGCATGTCATGGGTCGGTGGGCAGAATACTTTGAAGACCTCCTCAATCCCATCGGCACATCTTCCACTGAGGAAGCGGAGCCTGGGGACTTTGGGTCGGGCTCTCCAATCTCTGGTGCTGAGGTCACCGAGGTGGTTAAAAAGCTCTTCGGTGGCAGGGCCCCAGGGATGGATGAGATTCACCTGGAGTTCCTTAAGGCTCTGGATGTTGAGGGGCTGTGTTGCCTTACACGACTCTGCAATATTACGTGGACATCGGGGGCGGTTCCCCTGGATTATCAGACTGGGGTGGTGGTCCCCCTTTTTAAATAGGGGGACCATAGAGTGTGTTCCAACTACAGGGGGGTCACACTCTTAAACCTCCCTGGTAAGTTCTATTCAGGAGTTCTGGAGAGGAGGGTCCGCCAGATAGTCGAACCTCAGATTCAGGAGGAGCAATGTGGTTTTCGTCCTGGTCGTGAAACACTGGACCAGCTCTACACTCTCAGCAGGGTCCTAGAGGGTGCGTGGAAGTTTGCCCAACCAGTCTACATATGCTATGTGGAGTTGGAGAAAGCTTTCAACCGGGTCCCTCGGGGAGCCCCTTTGGGGGGGTACTCCGGGAGTATGGGGTACCAGGCCCTTTGATACAGGCTGTTGGTCCCTGTACGACAAGTGTCAGAGCTTGGTCCACATTGCCGGCAGTAAGTCGGGCTCGTTCCCAGTGAGAGTTGGACTCCGCCAAGGTTGCCCTTTGTCACTGATTCTGTTCATAACATTTATGGACAGAATTTCTAGGCGCAGCCAAGGTGTTGAAGGGATCCGTTTTGGTGGCCTTAGGATCGCTTCTCTGTTTTTTGCAGATGATGTGGTCCTATTGGCTTTATCCAGTCGTGATTTACAGCTTTCGTTGGAGCGGTTCGCAGCAGAGTGTGACGCGGCTAGAATGAGGATCAATTCCTCCAAATCCGAGGCCATGGTCTTGAGCCGGTAAAAGGGTAGAGTGCCCTCTCCGGGTCGGGGAGGAGGTCCTGCCCCAAGTGGAGGAGTTCAAGTACCTTGGGGTCTTGTTCACGAATGAGGGAAAAATGGAGTGTGAGATTGATAGGCGGATAGGTGCAGCATCAGCCGTGAAGCGGGCGCTATACAGGTCTGTCGTGGTGAAGAGAGAGCCGAGTCAAAAGGCGAAGCTCTCAATTTACTGATCGATCTACGTTCCTACCCTCATCTATGGTCATGAGCTTTGGGTTGTGACCGAAAGAGAGAGATCATGGATACAGGCGGCCGAAAAGAGTTTTCTCCTCAGCAGGGTGTCTGGGCTCTCCCTTAGAGATAGGGTGAGAAGCTCGGTCATCTGGGAGGGACTCAGAGTAAAGCTGCTGCTTCTCCACGTTGAGAGGAGCCAGTTGAGGTGGCTTGGGCATCTGTTTAGGATGCCTCCTGGACGCCTCCCTGGCGAGGTGTTCCAGGCACGTCCCAATGGGAGGAGACCCAGAGGAAGGCCTGGGAGCGCCTTGGGATTCCCCCGGAGGAGCTGGCCCAAGTGGCTGGAGAGAGGGAAGTCTGGGCCTCCCTACTTAGGCTGCTACCCCTCACAACCCAACCCCGGATAAGTGGAAAAAAAGGGATGGATGGAAGTTGCTGTTTGTTGCTACTCAAACTCCCCATTGTGTCAAGCATAAAAAAAAAACGTCTTTACAGCTTCAATCTTTTTAGGTAAATAATCACTAATGGCTTATGGGTATGTTTAAATCTTTTTCCACTTGATCTTTTTTATTTAATTGTGCAGATTGAGACTTGTAAAATATTGTTCACTTTAAAGAAAACATTATTTTAGCCTTTATAATGTGAAGCTTTTTCAGCAAAGCATCCACTTGTGCAAGGTCACCCATAATAAAGTTTACAAAAGTAAAAAATAAAAAAAGAAGAAGAAGGAAAAGTCTGTAGAGCATTGTCTCTCAAAGCACCAAGTGTTATATTTACAAAATAAAATAAATACTAAGATCTCAGCCCTTGGGGAAAAAAGACCCATGACTTGAGAACTCTGGGATTAGTTTAGAAGACTTTTTGTAAATGAAAAAAAATGTGCTTTTGTAAAGGCTGTTAAAGCAGACCTTATTCCCAGACTAATTTATCAAAATAAATAAATATATAGATAAAAAAAATAATTAAAAAAACAACTTTGATTAATGGTCAGGATTCAGCACCTGCACCACCTGTTGATCAGCTTGGTTTTAGGAGCCAGAAAGTTTGGGCATCTCCCAACAACTAAACTGTGTTCAGTAACTATAACCAAGCTCTAGTGGTACTTATGACTGCTTTTATTTAAAGTAAAGTGCTAAGTGTTGTCATCATCGTATGTTCCCATACAGTGGCGAAAATGGTTTTCTGCATTTAACCCATCGCACCTGGGATGCACCCAGGTTCAGTAGTGGGCAGCTATGTAAGCTGCATGGGGAGCAATTAGGGATTGGGTGTCTTGCTCAGAGACACCACAGCATGTGGGTTGAACTGGGGATTGAACCTGGGTCTTTCGGGTCCCGAGTCGGCGGCCCTGCCTCTACCCCATCTTTGCAAATGTTCTTAATCTTAAACTGACCTGCTGTGATGAGCAGTGAGCACTGAGAGTCGATGATCCTCTCACACAGAGACTCAGCAGAAAAGCCTGCAAACTAGGAACAGACATTTCCACGTTTACAAATTACATTTTATTTCCAATTACCTAAAGTTTCACACACAATTTTGTTTCAAACTCACCACTACAGAATGAACGGCTCCAATACGGGCACAAGCCAACATGGCAACCACCAGCTCAACAACCATGGGCATGTAAATGGAGACTCGGTCGCCCTTTTTCACTCCTAAAAAAGACAGAAAAACAAACAAGTTGAATCAAATGCTAGACTTTGTTTTTGACTCTTGTACCTGATTCACTTCTACTCCAAGAGACTTAATTACAATTAACGAATTGTAAACTGAAAAGTGCAAGTTTGCCGTAGTGCTCGACTTGAACTACAGCTTCCTGCACGATAGGGCATTTCGCATCCTATCAAACTAAAAAAAACAGAGGATCAGAAAGAAGAAAAAAAACAGGAAAAAAAAAAAAGAGGACAAAACTATAAGTTTGAAAGCTGTGTGTTACATTTAACTGTCTAATTGACAGAAAATAAATGAACTACCAGAATAACAGCAGGGTTTCCTCTACGTGTATTTTATGGTGGCGCACCACCACCATAAAATACAAGCCCCCACATTTTGAGAATAAAGGTTTATATAGAACTGAAATAAATTTAAATATCATGAAAGGTTAAAATTTACTTTATTTAGGAAAGCCAACACTACCGACTCCTTCCTCCGCTCTGTGAAACTAGAGACGAGTCGACAGTCAAAAGTAAAGGGAGAGAAAAGATGAAAGTTAGCTTAGCAGGTGGCAGGTGCTCATCTCCTCGGTGGTAAATCAAATGTTCTTAATAATGTTTGCTTGTGTTTACTTAGATCACACAACAACCAAATGAGTTTTTATTTTTCCTGAAAGAAGAAAAAGCTATCCTTCCACCAGGCGGACCGATTCTGAACGAGGCTCGGCTCAGGTGCAGTGCAGGAGGACGTCGAAGAGAGAGATGTTGGAAGAAACTATTTATTTTAAATTCACCTCAGTTCGTTTATTCAATCCATTCAATATTTTAAGCTGCATTAAGCAAAGGAGTGACAGCCTGAACAAGCCAGATGAACAACGTGGGACCAGTATATCCAGGATGAAAACAGAGCAGTCCAGTTCATTAATGTAGATTACAGTTCAGTTAACTTGTTTTTAATAGTGTGTTCAGTTTAATTATCAGTGTTTATGCGACATAGTTTGTGGTGTTGAATAAATAAATACAAAATAAACCCATATTAAATTTCAACTTTAATAACATGCAATATGTTTAGCATCATTTTAATCACATAATTTGAATTACATAATGTTCAGATACCTTAATTTAGCTCAGAAAACTTCATTATATGGGGGAGGATGCCGGTCAGACCTGGCAGACCCAAAAATATTGTGCTGGGAATGTCTGGCAGAGTCCACCGTGAGACGAAGCTTTAACTCCCACCTCCGGGAGAGCTTCGAACACGTTCCGGGGGAGGCGGGGGACACTGAGTCCGAGTGGGCCATGTTCCACGCCTTTATTGTCGAGGCGGCTTATCAGAGCTGTGGCCACAAGGTTGTCGGTGCCTGTCGTGGGGGTAACCCTAGAACCCGGTCGGTGGTGGACAACGGAGGTGAGGGACACTGTCAGGCTGAATAAGGAGTCCTATCAGGCCTTTTTGGCCTGTGGGATCCCAGAAGCAGCTGATGGGTACCGGCAGTCCAAGCGACAGGCGGCTAGGGTGGTTGCTGAGGCAAAAACTCGGGTGTGGGAGGAGTTCAGAGAGGCCATGGAGAATGACTTCCGTACACTTCGAGACGATTCTGGTCTACCATCTGGCGTCTCGGGAGGGAAAGCAGTATGCCACCAACATTATTTATAGTGGAGGTGGTGTGCTGCTGACCTCAACTCGGGATGTCGTGGGTCGGTGGGCAGAGTACTTTGAAGACCTCCTCAATCCCACTGGCATGTCTTCCACTGAGGAAGCAGAGCCTGGGGACTTTGGGTCGGGCTGTCCAATCTCTGGTGCTGAGGTCACCGAGGTGGTTAAAAAGCTCCTCGGTGGCAGGGCCCCAGGGGTGGATGAGATTCGCCCGGAGTTCCTTAAGGATCTGGATGTTATAGGGTTGTGTTGGCTTACGCAACTCTGCAATATTGCGTGGACATCGGGGGAAGTTCCCCTGGATTGGCAGACTGGGGTGGTGGTCCCCCTATTCAAAAAGGGGGACCGTAGAGTGTGTTCCAACTACAGGGGAATCACGCTCTTAAGCCTCCCTGGTAAGGTCTATTCGGGGGTTCTGGAGAGGAGGGTCCGTCGGATAGTCGAACCTCGGATTCAGGAGGAGCAGAACGGTTTTAGTCCTGGTCGTGGAACACTGGACCCGCTCTACACCTTCAGCAGGGTCCTGGAGGGTGCGTGGAAGTTTGCCCAACCAGTCTATATGTGCTTTGTGGACTTGGAGAAAGCATTCGACCACTTCCCTCGGGGAGCCCTGTGGGGGGTACTCCGGGAGTATGGGGTGCCAGGCCCTTTGATACGTGCTGTTAGGTCCCTGTACAGCCTGTGTCAGAACTTGGTCCACATTGCCGGCAGTAAGTCGGGCTTGTTCCCAGTAAGAGTTGGACTCCGCCAAAGTTGCCCTTTGTCACAGATTCTGTTCATAACTTTTATGGACAGAATTTCTGGGAGCAGCCAAGGTGTTAAGGGGATCCGTTTTGGTGGCCTTAGGATCGCTTCTCTGTTTTTTGCAGATGATGTGGTCCTATTGGCTTCATCAGGTCGTGATCTACAGATTTCGCTGGAGCGGTTTGCAGCCGAGTGTGAAGCGGCTGGGATGAGGATCAGTTCCTCCAAATCTGAGGCCATGGTCTTGAGCCGAAAAGGGTAGAGTGCCCTCTCCAGGTCGGGGAGGAGGTCCTACCCCAAGTGGAGGAGTTTAAGTATCTTGGGGTCTTGCTCACGAATGAGGGAAAAATGGAGCGTGAGATTGATAGGCGGATAGGTGCAGTGTTGGCAGTGAAGCGGGTGCTGTATCGGTCTGTCGTGGTGAAGAGAGAGCCGAGTCAAAAAGCGAAGCTCTCAATTTACCAGTCGATCTACGTTCCTACCCTCATCTATGGTCATGAGCTTTGGGTTGTGACCGAAAGAACGAGATCTCGGTTACAAGCGGCCGAAATGAGTTTTCTCCGCAGGGTGTCTGGGTTCTCCCTTAGAGATAGGGTGAGAAGCTCGGTCATCCGGGAGGAACTCAGAGTAGATATCCTGATGCATGCTCAATAATCCAGGTAGAAAAATCTAAAAAAGTTAAATCTGGTCCTCTGGACATTCAAGAAAAAACAAAACAAAGCAAATCAACAAAAAATGTAGAAACGTTTCGTCTCTCATCCGAGAGACATCCTCAGTCTGAGGAGCTGTATTCAGCTCAGTCTCTTAAATAGCACC